GTTTTTCAAAACCAAACATTGACATTTTAAAAATATTATGGAATTTAAATTTTACTCTTTCCAAAATTATGAATAATCGAGTTTAGGGTCTAGAATTTGATATTATTGTCATTAATCGTATTTAGTAATAGATATCTTATAATTTTAAGTTAACATCTTAATTTATAAATTTTAAGATTTAAATATTTGAACAACTTTTATAATTTTAAGAACAAAAGAAATTGTATTTTCAATAGTTGAAAAAGCAATAATTACTATTATTTAAGATTTTTAAAATAATATAAAAATTCTTATAAAATAGATGAAATATTTGGTTTAAAAGGTATTTTATTTATAATCATGAATAATTAAGAATGACATTTTTATTTTGTTTACTAGTTTTAGATATTTACACAAAAAATTAATAGTAAATATAAAAAATATTTCAATATTTTTATATAAAATTTTAAGTATAAAATAAAAAATACAATTTTATTTATAATTATTTATAAAATAAAAAAATATTATTCACACTAATATTTTATGAACTCCAAACAGGACAAATTGTACCTATTACACGTTTATTCATTTAAATCATTTAACATAAATAAATTAATTGTACAACTAATTTACAAAATAAATATAATTTCATATTTAAAAAAGTTAGATGTTTACAATTTAAAAAAATATAATTAAGAGCCGGCTTGAATGTTTGGGCGAATTCCGTTTCTGTAAAATCGAAAATTGTGTCTTGTCGGTGAATTTCTATTGCAATGGAATTTTCTATTAATGGTCAAGATACACAAACAGGCCCTTTACCCAGTGTGTGGTCATGTAATTGCCTTTTTTCATAACAATTTTTATGATAATTTTTTTTTCCATTTTGTATCTATTATATTTAATTTTGAATTTAAATTAAATTATTAAAAGTGTAAAATTTTATTGAAAAATTCACAGATACAAATGAAAATCTCTAAAGCCGAAATGCATCCAACCCAACAATTTGAGTGAGGTTTAGATGGAATCAAAAGAACATGTCAATTCTATCATGTGGCCGAACTGTATTGACGGGGACAAAGGGAAAAGAGTCAAAATGACACAGCACATCATTTTATAGTAAACGATGGTTCTGTTTTGATTGAATGGGTTATGCCTCCTAAAAATTTTAACCGTTATCAGTAGAAAGTAAATCCTGTTCGCCTTTCATAATAAAATCAAATTACAAACAAATTCAATCACGAGTAAGCTATAAATGGGTAAAGTGAGTATTTAAAATTCAAATTTGATTTATAAAAAAAAAGTACTTAGTTTTGATTTATTTATTTAAACAAATTATTTTTAAGCTTCACTCTGACTAAATTAATAGTTTTAAAGTTTGAATTTAACTTATTATTTTGTTTATAATTTTTTTATAAATTTAGAATAAGTTTTTTTATTAATCTAGTATTTAATAAATTTATTATGCTGAAAAAAATAAAATAAATAAAATATAATTTTATTACATAAAAATAAATTAACGTTCAAAATAAATATTTTATGATTGAAATTAGTATATATATATATATAAAGTAACTGTTTATTGTTTAAAAATATAATTATGAAAAATTAAAATTAGATAATAATATCAATAATTAAAAAGTATAAATTTTAAGTAAATTAATAAATAAAATCATAAATACCTGAGTGTAAATATATTTACAAAATTCTTAGAAGGTATTGATGTTAAACTTACAAAGTTAAAGCTTAAGCTTGACTTGTTTAAGCAAATGAGCCTACTTTTAAGTTTGAACTTATTTTTTTAATTAATTAAAAAAGTTTAACTTAACATTTAACAATTTAATTTTAAATAATTTACAAATAACTTATTTATTTTCCTAATCATAAAGTTCTAATTCTAATCGTTATTATTAACAGCGCGAAATACAAGTTTAATTTTCTCTTTAAAGTACAGAATATTTATAATATCAAAATTTGCGTTTTATTGTCGTTATTTTAGGAAGGATTTTGCTAAATCACTCCTTAGTAAAACTAATCTCACAATTATATATGTTGTGATAACTATAAAAACAAACGAGTAAAGACAAGATAAAAGTTAATTTATATTCTATATATATGCGCTAAATGAATTTGTATTTCCAATTTTCAACTTTAAAGTGGATTCACAGTTTTATGTTATTAACATTTTAATACTCCTCTCTCGTTAATTATAATATATATTATATAAACATAATATTAAAAAATCATAAAAAGTAAAATTTTATGAAATATTTACTTATAAGTGTATTTTGTATAGTTAATGCGATAAAAATACTTAATTATTACTTTGTATAAAATATTTTTTTCCTAATTATTTTATTGTAAACTATATAAATTATAATGTTATCATTTTATAATATTATCGGCCAGTCAATAATTATTACTTTATATATTATTGTATATTAACTATAATTTAGAACACAATTATATATCTGTTAATGTTAATTATTTTATAAAGATAAATAAATATTTTTAATTAATTATTAACGAAAAGAATTATTCTTAATGATACAATAGTTTATAATTAAATACCATTATAAAAAATTATATTATTAATATATTTTAATTAAATTCATTTTTTATATTAGATTGATAGATACAAAATTTCATTCCAAATTTACAATTATAAAATTAATTTACTACTTTAACCACAATTTCGTTTCCAGCGACCTTTTAATTCTTGACCTTCAATATTTCCTTCCTCGCATTCATTTCCTTAATAACGAGTCACTATGTCTATATATGACCACTTTTCTCTATATATTCTATCGACTGCTCTTCTTCTTCGGCACACATATCATTATGTATATTATAAGATATTTTGGATAGTTAATATTTTATAAGAAGAAAGTGACAGAAATGAGTTAGATATGTGTAGCTAGCTCAAGGAACTTAAGTTTAGCAACAATATCCTTTGTGTAGTAATATGCTCATAAAAACCCTTACTTTTTCCTTTTATTATGCTTGCAATTTAATGTTGTCGTTAAACTTGACCTGTTATCCCTACAAGAAAATTAATTTAAGAGGGGACACATACTGAGTAAAAATATTTTTACATAAAAATGATAATAATAAATCTGAATTATGCAATTATATGTTAATAATTAAATTATTTTTTAAATAGTTACATTATTATTTAAAAATCAATTTACATAACTTAATATTTTAATTTTGATTATTCATAATTAATTTTTTTATAAATTTATATATAAATTTTACCGACCATGTTAGCCTTCTGTAAGAAGATTTATGTGTGCGATGATGGTAGGCTATTTTCATAGCGTAACATAGGTGTGGTATGTCATTAATTAGTGTAGATTCATAAGAATAAGAAAACATATAAAAAAATCTATTTAAGTTAAAATATTTTAAAATTTATTTATATCAGTAATATATTCTATTTTTGTTGCATTATACTAACGATTAAATGAAATTTTGATATGAAATATTTAATTAAGAAAACTAAATGAGAGTAGTTATATAAAATAATGTGATTCTTTTCTTCTGTTTTTTCTCTTTCTTCAAATGATTGATTACTAGATAAAATAATAATAATCCAGCTTTGTAAGCAACTTCAAATAAACTGTTCATTACGTTTAGACAGATTGCATGCGTTCAACAACCGAGTGACAATAATGTTCTACAGCCACAGCTTAGCTAACTAGCCAGCTTAGAGTACCATAGATGTGGTTGTTCTTCCTTTTACTTTCTTATAAACAAAGCATACTCACGCAGCTATCTTTCTTTGTTATATATGTGCAAGCATCAACAAATTAAGTTGATTCAATCCCAATAATATTTTCCTATGGGCTTTAAGATTACGACTTATTAATGCATGGTTGTTTCTTCTCTTGGTTTTATCTCAACTTTCTTATATGATTACGAAAGACACTTACATGATCAAAGAAAAACATGAGTTTGATACATCATTCAACTCTCTTCTCCGGTGTTTTAAATATTCCACCAATAATATTTTCCCCAAAATCATCCATCAACGAAGAATGCATGCATTATTCTCTTGTTATGCTTTTTATTCTATCCGTTCATTTTTAAATATTAGACGTCTTAAAGAATGCATTTTATTGTTTTATCATTTACATAAAAATATAAAATTTTAATTAGCTTTAATCCTTATTTATTATCATTTTTATGAAATAAAATAAATGATACTAAGAAAGAAAAACACGGTTTAATCAAGTATATTTATATTTATTTAAAACCAAAAAAAAATACTTCATGAATTACAATTTTTATAGAAAGATATTGTCTTAGTATCATTTACTGTCAAATAAAAATTTCATAAAACATTAGGATTGTCCTCGTTCGCATATTTTTTTCCTAATAATACATCAATAAATAATTTCACCGATATTATATAATATATTACACTGTTGTCTTTGATGTTTGTATAAATACTTTGATTTTGTTAGACAAAGATTATACTAATAAAAATAATATTAATTTTGATAATTTTAGTTTGTTAATAAAAAAGAATTGTCTTAGTATATTCTGAATAAAAATTGATGAAAAATTAAATAGTTAATCTATTTTGAATGATTAAAGATTGATTCGATTTGTGAGCGCAAGATTATTTACCCCATTAGCAGGGTTGTGATGGAGGAAAATGATTAAACGAAGGGCACACGTGAAGGTAAATAAATGGAAGCAGCAAGGCATTATCGATCCCAAGTCCAAGATTCGAATGGCATATACACGTTCACACTCACTTGCCTGGCAGATCCAAAGATGCTGTTTCGCTCCCCATTTCACACACGTCGTTCACGATCAAGGGACCAAATCAATTACCTTTATAATTCATTTGGGTCCTACACGGCATATATATCTAAAATCATATAATTTAATTTGGTCAACAAAGCTTACCCCTTCATCTGCCACATGAATGAAGATTTAATCCAAATGTAAATTCACTTCTCTTACATCACCCTTATAAATATCAAACCCTCGCCACCTCACAAATCTCTCCCATCATTCCATTTTACAAACTTCAACGCAACACTTCATATATACGTAGGCAGCCATCTACGTGTATATATAGTATAGTTAAGAAAATTAATTAAGCTATATATAGCTGGTAATATAGTACATATATACACATATATATGGGAAACTGTTGCACGACGGTGTCGTCTATGGATTGGGGTGGCGATGACTGGGGCTCTTTGTCGTCTAAGCATAAAAGAAAGATGAGTTCGAAGGTGTTTGATGAGGTTGATGGGTTGAGTTTGGGGAACGTGGAGAAGGAGAGGCTTTTGGGTGCGTTGAGAGCTTCTTCTGATGCTAATGGGAAGGTGAAGATTAAGATCTCAAAGAAGGAGCTAGCGGAGTTGTTGAGAAGGAGAGAGAAACAAGGTGAAGGAGGACACGCTTCTGCAGAACAAGTTCTGGTTCGCTTGATACATGCCAAAGATCATGTGAGTAACGAACACCATGATGCTCATCATAGGCCATGGAAGCCCGTGCTACAGAGTATTCCTGAGGTTAATTAATTGAAATGAGATCTATTATCAGAGGTTGTTATAGTGGGGTGTGTAGTGTAGAGGTTGAGAAAGGTTTAGGTTTGTGCTTGTAGAAAATCGAACTAAGAAACCCAGGATTTATTTATTTATTTATTTTTCTTCCATGTTTTCAGCTTGTATTTTCGTTTAGGATAGAGGTTGGGAATGTGTGATCTGTATATTCTTGATCCTGAGAGTGAAACCTGAACTGATGGAAGGGAAATTTCTTGTGTAAAATCAAATCGTAAATCAATGTTAATTAATTACTCTTTAGTTGCTTATTAGTGTTACTGACTTCAAATTAAACGCATTCTAAAGAAATTAAGAAGAGACCAAATCAAAGAAGTTCCGTGTACTGTACCGTTCTATTCATCAACCATGACGCGAACAAAACCTGTGCAGAATTGTCCTTTCTATTATTTAATGTTACGTGGAGTTTTTATTTTATCATTTACCAGATTTCACTTAATTTAAAGGTCGATAGTAATTGTCATTTTGCTTTTCTTTCTTTCTTTTTTTTCTTTGTAACTCAACTCTATGGTGATAAATTTCTTAAATTATTATTTTTTAAATGACATAAAACTACTTACTAACTTGGGGTGGCGATATGATTGAGGTTCAGGTACCTGAAGACGGTTCAATAACTCTTCCAAGATAAAAAGCCAATACCTCTCCCTAACAACATTTGAATATCAAATACCCACGTTAACCGTTGTGATTCCCATTTTATGTAATGGTTCCAAATTAACAATGACCAATGATTAGGACCAGCAATGCAAATCCAGAATTGTATTTCTGGCAGAAGATCACTAATCATTAACAATACGATTAACAACGAGAAAAATATTAATACAAACATGCACTCTTGAATTTGTTTGGTTCGATTTCGGGTTGAATTAAGCCGGCCGAGTTAAATTCAAATAACTGATGCTTCAACATAGGTTGAATTCAAAAGAATGAAACAAAGATTAAATTATAGTTTTAGTTATTATATACATGAAATTCATTTTTCAATACGAACAATATTTCAGTTTGATGTTCATATACCTCATCATTTTTAGTGTCATTTTAACAATACTTAGTTTTATAACATTGTGAAATTGACAAAAGAATTTGTAACCATTTACAAAAAGAATGCCAAACAACTAGGTGCTTGTTTGGTTTACTAGCATAATTAATTATTGATACTGGTAAATATTCTATTGTAAAAATATAATCAATCTCAATTAGGTAAGATACGCTTTCTGATCTTATATTGGTGCTCTTATAAAATCAACATCTCCTAACTTGAGAGACAAAGTATCTTCGTAAGTATTTAATCACGCACTTCACTGCGCATAACCAACGAGGAAGAATCTGACTGCATCTGAAGTCCATGCCGTCCTACTCACACAAAATAATTAAAACTTATTATAATATTATTTGAATAAAATATTTCCCAAGTTATAAAATTACTCAATTGAAAAAGGAATGACATGTTTTTACTCAAAAAAACTTACTCATAAATATAATTTGTAATGGACAAAATTTATCATTTCTTCTAAAAAAATCTTATGTTGAGCTAGTTGATTTTATAATTTTGAATTTTAGTCAAAATAGATATTTTAATAAAATTTTGTATAACATAATCTTAATAAAATTTTAATAAAATATAATATTTTAATAAGTTTCTTTTATAAAATATGACAAAGGAAATATTGATTTTTAGTTAAATAAAGTGACTTTTTTTATAATTTTTTGAATAAATTACGATAAAAAATGATTTTTTAATTGAAATGAAGAGACATTTCAACCAATTTCATAAGAAATTGATAACTAAAGAAAACATGAAATTTTTAGTTAAAACAAAATAATATAGAGTTTTAGTAATATATATATATATATATATATATATATATATATATTACTAATTTTTATAAAAAATTTGTGACTAAATAAATATGATTTTTAGTTGAAAAGTGACACTTATAAATTTTTTAACAAGTTTATAAATAATTTGCAGATAAACTTGTAAGGTATAAGAAAATAAAAAAAATAATCGAAAAAAAGATGTTTTGAAATGCTTTCAGGAAATATTGCTTTTGTTAATTAAGTTTAAGAATTAGCTGAAGACTACTTTGTTAAGATAGGATCAAACTATCTCAAAATGAAGAATTTCAAGTACAAAGACATTAAATATGAAATTTTTTTGTGAAAATATCAAAGCATTAGGAGCAATTATCAATTAAAACATGTGACAATGATTATAAATGGTATGTGATAGCAACTACAAAAAATAGTTTTAGATAATTATGTTGTAAAAAATATGTTTTAAGTAGTTATGTGGTATTATATGTATAAATAGAAATTTTTAAAACATAGTTCAGGATTATAACTTTTAACTAAAACACCAAAAGTTGTATGTATAATTTTACAAGTTAATTTTAGTAAGTTTTTCTACCTATTCTATTTTTATTCTGCCCTTTCTACAAAGTTATGTTAATAATTACATTAAAAACACACAATAAAAATCTTGTAAAAGATAATTTAAAATTAATTTAAATTGTTCTTAAATTTATTTTTTTACTAAAAAATTTACTATAAATAAATATTTTTTATTTTTGTGCTTTATATATATATATATATATAATAGTTTAAAATATATTATCCAAGCTAAAACATCCAACTCGAGCCCAACTATATTTAGCTAATTTGAGGTTGCTTTTAATTTTTGAGTTTGAAATACTGCTTAAGATAAAATAATTAACAACTTATCAACTTGCACACAATAGTCTGTATAAACTACATAACGGAAGTGGTCTTGGAAATGTGCATTAAGAATTGTTTACTCCCTACAAATGGCGTAAGTCCAATTGCCTGAATGACTTATCCTTGGCCGATATTACTAATTTTCCCGCAATTCCCAGCCTTCATCAAAAATATTTTCTACCAAAAAGAGGGTAAGTTTGGGAGAGGATTTTTGGAATGAAAGATATATTTTTTATTTTACATTAAAAGAATTGTACTAAAATGGGTAAATGGATAAATGACCAGCAAAACAGAACAAAAATGCTTTGACACTTAATTTTAAACAATTTACTCTTAATTTAAATCAATTGTGTAAGAATGTGTATGATGCTTTTTTGTCAATTTATTTATTGGCGTCATGTGATAATTTGCATTGCCAAATGCCAAGTACTAACCTGATACAGTCCATAAGTCATCTTTGGGTTAGCAAGCTACGATATAAACTTGAGAGATTGGGCCCAATTTCAGGACCTTGGTTGTTTTCATAGGCTCATTTTATTATTATTGGACAATATTGATACTGCTGACCCAAAGATGTAATTTTAACTATTTAGGTAGGACACCAATAAATAATAGTACTGTTAGAAAAAAATAATATTAAGATGATGAGGGATAGAATAATGTAAAATTGATAGAATATTTTATTTCTTCATTAAATCCAATATCTTATATCTCTTTCTTCGTGAAATGAGTAACAGACAAATAATTAGGACGACAATATTTTTTTTTCATTTTAAATTTACGAGTGATTTTGCCCATAACACAAGAAAATATAAATAAACATTACAAACTTTAATGATAATCAATATAAATATTAAAAGACGATATTTGTGTTATTTTAAAATAATGATATTTAGATTAATTGAGTTAAGTTGTAAAGATTAAATAAAGTTAAATATTTATATTGATGGAGAATGGTACATGGCAATCATAACAAGTATTAACGGGAAGTGTCATTAATTGTAAAAGACTGGTATAATAAACCGGGTTGATTTAATTATAGGATAAAATGAGAAAAGCATACTTGAAATAGGCGATTAACCATAAAGAATTAAGGTGAATTGAATGCATTAGGGATAATCATAAATGGAACTGGTAGGAGTATTGCCTCCTTTCCAATTGCAATTCCAAATTCCAAATCAAAATAAATAAAAGCAACAGCCACAAACAGACCCCAATTAATGACCCGATCTACCAACTGCCACATGACCCAGTTGGCGCCAAAACACAAACATGAAACCTGGAAACTGCTAACACTCACAAACCCAACCAGAAGTGTCACCTAGTTGGGTCGAACGCGCACGTGCGAGCGCGTGTGTAGGAACTGGCGCATAGAATAGAAGCAAAAGGCGAAAGCGGTGAAAGAAAAAAAAAAAAAAAAAAGGCCCTTGATGGCGTAAATGCGGTAGCTAAGTGCAACTCATTGCCAATACTAATGGTGGGGTCTACTCTCTCTCTCTCTCTCTCTCTCTCTCTCTTCTTATGAGTCTCACCAGACAGCTATTACTGAGTCTGCCAGCCCACAGTCCCCACTCACTTTGAACCCTCATTCATTCATTCATGGCATTCACTCTTCTTTTTTCTTCCCCTTCTTCATTCACTTCACACATGACCCTTTTTCAATCCTTCTTCTTCTTCCGTCTCTAATGCCACACATATTATCCTTTTCACTGTCTCCTTGAATGCTTTCTCTTTCTGCTCCGGAGAAGGGCATGAAGCCCCATTACCTGCTCCTCTTTCTTTTCCAACTGTTCCTTCTTCCTCTATGTAAGTTTTGTTTTCCTCAGCGTTCCTCTTTCTGGGTTTTTAACATTTTCGTTTGATTTCTCATATTATAACTCAAGTGGGTGTGGTGAATTCTCGTGTTCGGTGGTTTTTGTTTTGGGGAGTATAGTGTTGGTGCTTTGAACTTTGAGCATGCTTTGGACGGTTAAAGCTCATTGCTTGTTGATGAAATTTCGTTCATTTTGAGTTTCCTAAACTCTGTTGACTTGCATTATTCTTTGGATTTGTCTTTTCTATTGCTAATTTCTAATTTTTAATATGATGAGGTGGGATAGTGCCACCTGTAGAAGATTTAGGGTTTTGAAATTGTTTTACTCTTATTTCACAGCTAATGATGTGTGCAAAAGAAAAGGAAAAACCTAGGTCGTGTGGTTTTAACCTTCAACCTGTCTGCTGTTATTGCTGTGCTGGCTAAGTTGTTGATGTAAATTATTCCTCATAATTATTTTGGAAACGCTGGAGATCATGGTATAAATTGTTAAGAAGATGTTGCTATTTTTGATAAGTTATTCGAACGAGTAACACTTTGATTTCTGGCTGGGAGTATTTAAGCGAGCTGTACTTTGAACAACGGAGCTTTTGTGATTTAGCCCTTAGAACATAGACCTATTGTACAGAATATTGGTATAGTTGGGTCCATGATTTTGGCGATTCTGTACTGAAACCATCCCCTTTCCCATGAAATTTTGAAGTTTAACTCTATCATTCGTTGTCATTGCTGTTCTCTGCTCAGCTCAATAAACCTTATTTTTTACATTTGGTTGTCAAGATCTCCTTTACATATTTAGAAGTGCCAATTTCAATTATATTAAAAAAATTGTCTTTTTCTCTGATTGTATCATTGACTGATCTGTAGAGTCTCTCATTTCATGCTGTTGAGCAAAATTAACTGGGTTAACACTGTAACATCACCTGAACAGTTAAAACAAACTCAAATTGGTATCTGGAGGCTTTTATTAACCGGAATTAAGTAATGTTGAGTTGAAAATACATTTCCATGTTTAAGCACCTTTGAACTATAAGATATGTTCAGACATCTAATGCAATGTAATATTTGTTATTCTGTGTACATAATTTTTTGCTTTGCTAACTTATTCGAAGTGAGTAAGCAAGAGGGAGACACACACAACACACAAAGGCAAAGATTTTCTCTCATTTGTGTTTTGTTACAGATGCACTTGAATCACGTAGCAGTAGAATTGATCATCATCAAGGTACAGAACTACTGGATAGCCATGATGATTTCATTCCCAAAATCTCACCCCTTGGTTCTCCTCAACCCCTTCTTCCTCTTCTTGCACCTTCACCATTGACTCCATTCACCAATACCTCTATCCCTAAGTTATCAGGTTAGTTTCTAAATAATTTGTGGTTGTTTTGGATTTTCAAAGGTCTGAATTTCTCTCTCTCTCTTACTGTCTTTGTTCATGTATCTTGCAGGACTCTGCACTTTGAACTTTAGTGCTGCCAAAAGTTTGATAAGTGTGACAGCAATTGATTGCTGGGAGGTTTTTGCTCCATTTCTGGCGAATGTAATATGTTGTCCCCAATTGGAAGCCACTCTCACAATTCTCATTGGTCAATCCAGTAAACGTACTGGTATATTTGCCTTGAACGGTACTGTTGCAAAACATTGCCTTTCAGATGTGGAGCAAATTTTGATGGGCCAGGGTGCCAGTAATAATCTGAGGCAAATATGTTCAGTTCATTCCTCAAATCTCACAGAGGCGTCTTGCCCAGTAAAAAATGTGAATGATTTTTATAACGTAGTGGATACTTCTAAGCTCCTTACTGCCTGTGAGAAAATTGATCCTGTGAAAGAATGCTGCTACCAAGTCTGTCAGAATGCTATATTAGAAGCAGCTACAGCAATGGCATCAAATGGTTCTCACATTTTGGGTGTAGATGCACCGCATGTTCAACCTGAGCACTCAGTCCGGGTCAATGATTGTAGAAACGTTGTCCTTCGGTGGGTAGCTAGCAAGCTTGAACCTTCTCAAGCTAAGAAAGTTCTTCGAGGATTGTCCAATTGCAATGTGAACAAAGGTTAGTTTGAGTAAAAGGAGTAATAGAATGGGAGTTGGGATGGTTTTTCCTTCATGATTGTCTTTGTTCAATGGTTATCATGGGATTATTATATTAGAATTTAGCTGGTCACATTAGGTGGCTTCTAATCATTTTGTGAAAATTCCTAACGATGCTAAGTTGTTAATCCTTCTGGTCCTTTAGTACTGCATTATTTTATGCTTAGATCCTCTTTGTATTTTGTCACAGTGTGTCCGCTGGTTTTCCCTGACATGAAACAAGTTGCCAAGGGTTGTGGGAATGGGATAAGTAGCAAGACAGCATGCTGTAATGCCATGGAAAGTTATGTGTCTCACTTGCAAAAGCAGAGCTTCATCACAAATTTGCAAGCTTTGGATTGTGCAGACACTTTAGCAATGAAATTGAAAAGATCAAATATTACTGAAGATGTTTATAGTATTTGTCACATAAGCCTCAAAGATTTTTCCCTCCAAGGTTTGTTTTTCTTCACTGATCTTGTTTGTATGCTACACCAACACTCAATACCAATAATATTTTATACCTGATGTTAATCATTCTTCTTTCATCTTGATTGTTCAACTCGGCTTGGAAATTGACCATGTGGATATTTCAGTCGGAAATCAAGGTAACTGTTCCATGTATATTGTGTCTTTAACTTATTTGCAATTTGTCACATTTTTTTATCCCCGGGAGATTGAAGTGGAAAAGGGTTCACATAAGAAAAAAAAAGATTTACTTTTGAAATGCATTTTCAATCCTAATTCCTGACATGCTTTTAAGAAAGTCATTGAATCCTCTTTATTATGTACTTTCGCATATTGTTCTGCTGAGACAGTTGCTACATTATGTTCCATCTTGCATTTAATGTTCTGCTGAGATGTGACTTGCTATGTTATTTGCTCTAAACAGAGGCTGGTTGCCTATTACCTAGCTTGCCTTCAGATGCTACATTTGACAGGACTGGGATTAGCTTCCTTTGTGATCTAAATGACAATATTCCAGCTCCCTGGCCTTCTACATTTAAAGTGGCTTCTTCATCATGCAATAAATGTATGTAGACTCTGATTAAATTTTATATAGTTTTGAGAGGCAAACTGTTCTTTATTTTTTTCCCTCTGTTCATAGAGAAAGAGAAAAAGAAGAAAATCTTATATATTTTTGGAGTTCTTTTTGCCTTTAAAATTTTCATTTTTATTTATTTTCTATATAAATATTCTATTTAATTTGTGCATTTTTTTTAACCTACCTTGTTGGAACTGCAGCTGTCAACATCCCTGCTCTGCCTGCGGCAGCATCTAGTCAAAGTTGTAAGAAACCGTTTCAATTTGTTCTGCTTATTCGCTATTCAGTAATCTATGAAGTTCTTAAACGGTGTTTAAAGTTTGAACTGGATTTAATTGAATTACTTTTGCGAGGAAAAAGTTAGTTGATCTGAACTAATTGGTTTTTCTTATATAATATCACCCAATTGATTCGGTTCGAAATGTAATTTGATCTGTTCAAATCCAACCTAAGATGGTTTGAATTGATTTTTGTTTCTTAATACATGAATTCATCAAAATATACAAATCTAAGTCCGCCAAAATACATTAAATACAAATCTAAACTTATTTACCAAAATACAGTGAATTTGTTCAAATAAATTTATCAAAATACAAATATAAATTCTAAATATAATTTCAAATTATTTGTCTGTCCCACAATATATGTCCAAATCCGAGAGGCAATTGTGTTTGGCTTGAGGTATATAATAAGAAAATTCCTAAATAAATATGGAAATGAAAATTTCTTATGTGTGACTGACTAAATTTTCCTGTTCTGCAGGTCTCTATAGTCATGACGTTCTGTTTTTCCTGCTTGTTGCTTTATCGTTTCTCTTGATGACAATCGTGTAGCTATGAGGCTTCTTGTTAAACGAAGCTAATTCCCTAGTCTTCCAACCAAGAGGGTTTTTGTGCGGGTGTTAGGTATGCCAAAGGTTAATTGTTATTCAATTGTGACCGGTCTTATGGGAAAGGGAAGTCTAAATTGGAGGTGAAGTCCAATCTGTTTCTCATCTTATTGGTTCATCATTCTTGTGTGCTCGTGTAATAAATTTTTTGTATATAAGGAAATTTAGAAAGCTTAGGTTATACAGTAATTGATGTGCAAACCTAGATTGCCGTTGAACAAGGTTTTGTAATCATCCTCTTTAAGTTATAGGCATATTTTAGAATTCTGTGCTATACTGCTATTTCTCTTTAGAGACATGTTCTTAATGGATTTTCTTTGGCCGGTAAAGTTGAGAACAAAACAAAATAAATTTTTCTTATGAATGTGGATATAGAAGCTTCTACAATCATTGTGACCCTACTTGTTACCTCTTTTATGTACAAGACCCTTTTCTTTTATTACACACAATCAGCTAAATGGAAATTGCTACTAGGAACAGCACATTTGATTACATAAAACTGATTTAATATTCGTCCATTGTAATGTAAGAAGTCATTTGAAACTTCTTTGTTACCAAAGTCAAATAATTTATTTTTGACATTGCTATTGTACATAATAAAAATCATGAAAGCAAAACATTCTCATGAGTACAAGATTTCACATGTGAACAAAGCAATGATGGAAAATAAAGGGCAACTCGGTACGCAAATGAATTTATTATATGTATGCTACTATATGTATGCTTTTAAACGAATCAAAATAAGCATGCTTAAAGTAAAAATTAATAAATAAAGGTTGCCGATGGACTATTTTTCATATAATTTTTCTAATATATGTGTAAGGGTAAATGTTAAAAAATTCAAAATATATCTTATTAAATAATTTAAATTACTATAAAAAGTAGAGTTTTTTAAACTCCATAATTAAGCTGAGTTTAAAAATTCATAAATAATTTTTTTTATACAAAATGCATTTATTGTATTAAAATTATGAAAGTATAATAATTTTTTCTATAAAGGTTTACTAATATTAGTTAATATTTTCTTAAAAAATATGCATTGAATTTTTTTATGATTTTAATATAATAAATATTCTTATTTTTAATAATTTTTTTTACTTTTAACTTCTTAATATGTGTTATTGAGCACACATTAGAAAAATTAGTTCTCATACAAGCAACAAACTTTTAATAAAAACCAAGATGTTATAATTATATTATAACGTTGGCTACTTGTTGAAATTTCTTTTCTTCGATAGTTCTAATTCATCGTGAAGCTTGTTCAAATGGATTTTCTACGAGCATATTCAAGTTGACATCTAATGCTATTATTTTTTCCAAATTTTTCTATAATTATATTAGACTTGATGAAAAATTTAGAAAATGAGTGTTTTTAGCAACATACTTTTTAAATAATTTTTAATATATTATTAATTATTAATTAAAATTTATTTTAAAAAATTACAATCATATTAGTGAGAATTATAAAATTAGGGTTGAAAAATATAAATTTAAAAGTAAGACTTATATTTTTTTATATTATTCAATACATTTTAACTAATAATTTAAAGTATATTAAAAAGTATAATATTATCATTTCTCAAGTTTAGAGTCCAAATTCATGGAACATTCTCTACGTTGAAACTGTATTTGGATAGATAATTTTAAAATTATCTTTAACACATAAAATTTCTAGTTAAAATTTTAAAATATTTTAATTTTTTTTACTGTATAAATATGTGTGTGTGTGTGTGTGTGAATATGTATATATTAAAAAAAACAGTGAATTAATATGTTGTACAGTACATGAATAGTGGAGCAAAATGAGCTAATAACATTTTGGGATAAATTATTTGAAAGAGAGAATAATTCCATTTGCAAGAGACATCCTGAATCCCACAGTTAAACACAGTTGAGAGAAAGAACATCATGTTTAACAATTAAAGAAAAGAGGTCATGTAAATAAGTAGACGAAATTATTTTAAGTGAGTACCTTATTTTAAAAAAATACTTAATTATATAATCAAAATTGTTAAATTACAATGTTAATTATGATTTATTTACTAAATAATTTATTATATTCTATTTATAATTATTTATATATATGCAATATATATATATTTTTTATAAACTTGTCATATAAAGTTACCAAGTGTATAGATTGAATGGCATGATGTTATAATGAATTAATTAGTAGTTTTAAGTTTGAATATTTGAACAGTCTTCTCTATAGAAGATATTTATGATTTAGACCAAATATTTTTATATAAAAATTTATTTTCTTAAAATTATTCAGTTTACTACTTGTAACACCTTATATATTTTTATAATGTGAAAAATAAAAGAAGAACTTACATATTATGTGTAAAATATTATAAGATAATAAAATTTATAAGTAAATGAAAAATAATATTTAATAAATATTACATAACTATACTTTTTTATTTTTCTCTAATTTAGATCAATGTATATTTGTGTGTAAAACAATTTTTTTATGATTTATTAAGGATGAACATATTCTAAATTTTTATTTACTGAAAATTTATAAAAATAACATCAAATGTTTTTAAAAAATTATTGAAAGGTTAAAACCCAGAAAAATGAAGAAATATACACTTAATATAAATTTAGAGTAAAAAAATTAAATTTTAAAAATAAAAGTTTAAAAAATGTTATATAACAATTTCAGTGAAAAACAATATTATACATAAAAAATATATAATTTTGGCAATTTTTATTTATTAATTTTTTAACTAACAGTTACACAGACACAGTTGTTAGAGAGATCCATAACTTACTTCTTCACCTAAAAAGGTTCCAATGTGAAACGCCCAGGTGGGTATATTAATGTCCCAACGAAGTAGAAATGAAAGCAATGATGAAGGTGGGGTTCAGGGCCCCTTTGACCCCACAAGTTAAGGATGATATAATAAACCATGACCGAATCATGGTACAAGTGTTGAATTATATTTTCACTATTTTTATTTACTGGTTAAAAATATATAAATTAAGATATTTAATTATTTTTATTAAAATTAACTATTTAACTTATTCATCAACCACTCTTTTTTATTTTGTCGCCGTTATCTGAACAAATCTGCCAACGCTGCCTGTTACATGTCATCTCACAACCTTTCCTTTCTTAAATTTTCTTCTTTTTAGATAAATTAATTATTAAAGGAGTGATAATTATATACTTTTAATAAAAAGTATAAAAAATAATATTCTAACTAAAAAACAGATAAACCTTTTATACACCAATTCGACGAGGTTACCTGTTCAACTTTACCTTCTTACTGGAGTGGCCGTCACGTTGGACGCGGCTGCCTAGTAGGCATGGCAACTAAGTGCATCCTCAAATTCGTATTTAAAATATGTTAATAATTTAATTTATTAAAATAAATTATTTTTTAAAATCATGTTATAAAATTATCAAAATAAGTTTAAAATATAATAATAATAATAATAAGATGCCAAGCATTTTATGGCTCGAGTAACATTTAGTGAGGGAGGTGGCTGTTGTAAAGAGGTGCCCCACTCCACTGCACCGCTCCATTTAATTGCCGAATGATGGTATTAATTCTGATTTATAAACATTTTAATCACGTTTATTATTAATTTTATGAATGACTTTTATTTTATATTTTATATTTTATATTTATTATGCCATATATCTCTTTTGCATCGTAATTTAATAATAAAACACGACTGTATCGATACCATTTAATAATTTTATTTTATATTCGTACAGATGTTTTGATGCGTCGAGATTACGTGATGGGATAAAGAAAAGACAAATATGTTTTTATTTCAAATTAAGGTACACAAATAATTTAAAAATTGACACAAGTAATTGAGGTTTTTTTACTCAAATAAAATAAAAAAATTTATTATTTTTTAAATACTTTAAAAAAATTATGTAAATATATTAAAAGTACGTATAACATAAATCGATTTAAATCGATTTTTATTATAGATATAATTTTAAAAATTATAGAAATTAATTTAAATCGACTTTTATTCTACATTTAAAATTTTTTTTACATATAAGTCAATTTAAATTAACTTCTATTTTATTTTTAAATTTTTTATATAAAAATTACTTTAATTTAACTTTTATTCTGATTTCAACTTTTATTTACACACGAGTCAATTTAAATTAACTTTTACTCACACATGAATATGTTTTCGAAAGAAGTCAATTATAATTAACTTTATAATACATAATTAAAGTTGATTAGAAAGAAATTTATTATAAATAAATAAAAATGTCATTTGATGATGAGAAAATTTTGAAATTAAGTGTAAACATTAGAGTGAGATGATAACATTCATTAGCAATCACTTTGCACCTCTGTTCTTGAACCTTACAACAAATTTTGATATAACGTGTTGCACACAATATGCATGATATGCTGAAAAGATGTCACTCATTACTTGTAGCTTTTAGAGTTAATTTGATTGCATGATAACTATATGGGACATTCAATAAACAATCCCTTAGCTCAAGTCTTTGGAGATACCCAGCTGGGAGCAGAGAAGGTTGAGGTGGAGACAAAACTGCTTTGGAAGCGTCATCAATGCAAGAAGAAAAAGATAAGCAAAAAATGTGAAGTAGAGGGATCTCATCCGACGGATGAGCTGTTCTCTCCCTTGGTTAACTACCACTACTTGGTCTTCTCTTTTGATTGATAGCTTCCGTTGGAGCACTTGCCTTCGTGATGAATCCCTAGAAAGAAAAAATAAATCTTGTATATTTATTTTCTTTGAATTACAAACGGTGAATACATGAATATATATATACACTAGAAAAGTAAGATGTCGATCCTACAATCATGCTAGACATTATAACAATAATTCTATAATAATTACAATTGACTAATAATAGGGAATAGCTTAATTATAGGGATTGACTAATTCATATCATGATTCTCATGATCATCCTTCATTATAGAATTCGTATATCAAGGGATTGATTGATTCTCTAACTTCCCCTCTCAAACTGATGGTGAGGGAGTCACTCCAAGTTTGTCTCTTAATTGATTGAATCTTATATGTGTCAAGGCTTTGGTAAGACAGTCAGCAATTTGATCAGTTGATGGAACATATGCTACAATGACTTTATCTTGTAGTACTTGATCTCTGATGTAATGCACATCAGTTTCAATATGCTTCGATCGAGCATGCATGACTGGATTTGAAGCTAATGCCTTGGGACTCAAGTTATCACACCATAGTATCGGTTTCCTTGGCTGAGGGAGTTTTAATTCAGTAAGAAGTGAGCGAGTCCAAGCTATTTCAGTAGCTAAATTAGCCAAGGCTCTATATTCTGATTCTGTGCTGGACCTTGATACTACTTTCTGCTTCCTTGAGGACCAAGAAACAAGTGTTTCTCCAAGGAAAA